AGGCCCTGCGGAACTGTAACAGGTCCCGCAGGGCCCTGATTTCATCCGGGAGCTTGTTCCACCAGATAGGAGCCGCCACCGAAAAAGACCTGGCCCTTGTGGCAGCAAGCCTGACCTCTTTAGGGCCTGGGGTCACTAGGTGGTGTTGTGACCCCGAACGAAGTGCTCTTTGGGGCCTATATGGGGAAAGGCAGTCCCTCAGGTATGCCGGACCCTGGCCATATAGGGCTTTAAAGGTAAGCACCAGCACTTTGAAGCGAATCCGGAATGCTATAGGCAGCCAGTGCAGCGCTTTCAGCACAGGCTGAATGTGGTCCCCTTTAGAGGCACCAACAACCAGCCTGGCCGCCGCATTCTGCACCAGCTGGAGCCTCCGAATTTGCGACAAAGGCAGCCCCATATAGAGAGCGTTGCAGTAGTCTCACTCTAGCCTCGAGGTAACCGTCGCATGGATCACTGTGGCCAGGTCTTCGTGGCTAAGGAAGGGGACCAACTGCCGCACACTCTGGAGTATCTAAAACAAGTATATTGTATATCTTTTTACAGTCTTTTTATGAATAGAATTATTGATTAATATCTAAATATCTAAATAGATGATCATTTTCAATGAAAGTTAACTTGTGTTTAAGCTTAAAGGTAATTTTGCAAATGTATGTATGATCACCATCTCTTGGGTTTTTAAAGGGTTTTCTTTACTTTCTCCCTTAGATTGTAGTTTCCCTTTCCTAATTTTCTGTTTGTAGTTATTAGAAAAGCAATTAAAAAATCCTTCGGAGGGCCAAAAAAAAAAAAAGTAGGTTTGCAGTGTACAGATACACACCTGAACAGCATACTCAAGATTGCTACAGCACAGACAATTTGATGCAATTATTCAGAGCAAGAGGTGTCAGTTCTCAGAGACTGTTAGAGACAAAATATTGCAAGGGGGCTAGTGTTTTAAGCATGTTTTATTTAAAGTTAAAAAATATTTAATTGTGTTTGTGTCCTTTATATTTGTATCTCCGCTACCTGGCATTAAATTTTATGACACACATGGCCTGGCCCAACAAGGTCTCATTTATGCCAGATGTGGCCCTCATAACAAATGAGTTCGACACCCCTGTGTAGGATTTTCAAGGCAAGAGACGTTCAGAGGTGGTTTCCCATTGTCTGCCTCTGTGTAGCAACCCTGGTATTCCTTGGTAGTCTCCCATCCAAATACTAACTGGGGCCAGCCCTGCTTAGCTTCCAAGATCTGATGGGACTGGGATAGCTTGGGCTATCCAGGTCAGGTCAGGGCCTACATAAAAGCTTATCCCACAATAAATTATGTAGCCTTTAAAGTGCTCCAAAGCTGTCATATTGTAAGCAAACTGAAGTAAAAGAAAGATGAGAAATAAAATGGTGGGGGTAGCTATCAGATATTCTGATATTCCTTTGGAAAACCTAATCAGTGCTTGCATCCTGGCCTGATTTAAGCATGACTTTGGCAATGCAATTTGTACAACTTCAGGGTCTTGCTTAAACCCACAAAACCCTTACTTGTGCCTACTTTGCACACCAAAAATCTGTAGCCCTTGTGAATAGTATGCTAAGTGTGCAAATTTAGCACACATAGATGCTTTGCAGAGGTTGCAGCAGATTTTAATGAGATGTTCGGCCTGTGGAAAGTCCAAGCAGAAAGCTTTTTGTGTTGTCATTGCCATGATCCATACCTTAGGTGCAATCCTCTGCACACTTAGCTGGGAGTGCCAGTGCCACTGAACTCAGTAGGGTTTACTTTTGAATAAACATGCGAAGCTGCCATTAAGTTATTTACTATAAAAGTTTTACCCCAATTATTATATGGAGCTCCTTTGTCCCTCCTGGCAAATTTGACCTTACTTGAAAGAACGCAATCAAAATTTTTAAGAGCTATTTTTCAAGTTCCACCAAGTGTTTCAAATGCTGCAATCCGCTTAGAGGCTGGCCTGGTCACGGTGGAGGCAAGATTGTGGATTGCTGCATTTCATTATTGGTTAAAACTGATTTTCTTATCCACTGGCCTTTCCCATACTATGATTACTGGCTACTATAAGGTAGCACCCTGTGAACTGCTCTGAGACCCGCTAGGGGTTACGAGCGGTATATAAGTCACATGTAAAAATAAAAAATAAATAAAAAAAATTCCATTAAACAAGCCGTAAAGCAACAGGCAGGAGGCTGGTAGAAGTAAGTATTTACAGAGATAGATGTTGAACGACAGATGGACGTGAGTAGGATTAGGAGCCCTGTATTTGATGTAAGTACACTTAATAAGATAACTTTGAGATCTTATATCAAATATTTAGATATTTGCAACCACAGAAGAATTTTTACCCTATTAAGATACAACGCCTTACCCTCAGCCATAATGGAGGCGAGATATACTAGAACACAGAGGAAAAGTTGTATATGTGGGTTGGGAGCTGACGAAACATTGGAACATGTAATTTTTTATTGTATTATATATCAAAACATTAGGGAAGTTTTGATCAAGCCTATAGTTAATTCCTTTCCAGGTCGTAATAGAAGCATACTTTTGTCAACTATGCTGGCAGGGGATAACCAAAAGCTGACTAGGATGGTTGCCAAATTTGGTTGGTTGGCATACCAAACTAGGAAAGAAATAAAGTACAGATAGGCCTAAATCTAATTTCTGATCTTAATATTGATTTTATCATGTCTGTATTTTAACACTTTTAGATTCTTATTTATAATTTTAGATGCCATAATATTTTATAATTTTATTGCTCCCCTATCTGTACTTATCTGTCTTCTATTATACTGGTCTATGACCGTAATAAAGGCTTGTTGTTGAATAAACATGCGAGAGGTTCAGCAACCACAAAATGCTCTTTTTACTCAGAGAACCCTTTGTAGAAACAAGCCCCAAGGTTATATGATCACACAACCAAAGTACAGGTAGAAGCCTCTCTGTGGTAGGGTGAACAACCGGAGGACATGCACTCCTGAGTCTACCCCCATCTTTTATCCAATCAAGGACCAATCTAAGCAAGACGAGTGCCGAACAACACAATAAAATAATTCGGTAGTCAGGTAGTCAACAGCGATTCAGCAAGTCTGCGCCTCTCAGCAGGTAACACCACCAGAGAGGGTTGCCAGCAATGCTCCCTCTAAGCTGTGGAGTCTTGTGAGCAAAAATTCTTTGTGAACTGCTGGCATTAAAGCTGTGAGCCAGCGATTTGGCTGCTGCATAAATTACTTTGCTCCGGAGCCATCCTTCCTGAGCCAAGACAAAAATATGTGAGCCGGAGGCGAAAAACCTGTGAGCTAGCTCACACTAACTCAGCTTAGAGGGAACACTGGTTGCCCGCTCTGGGTTGGGAAATCCCCGGAGATTTGGCGGTGGAGCCCGGAGAAGGCAGAATGTGGGGAGGGGAAGGATTTCACAGGGAATTTGATTCTATATTGTCCACCCTCTGAAGCTGCTGTTTCCTCCAGGGAAATTGATCTCTATGTGGATATTGCTTGCAATTCCGGGAGATCCGTATCCATCACCTGGAGGCTGGCAACCGAGGGACTCGAAAGCTTGCACGCGTTTCGTATGGAAAAAGTTATTGCGTGGATTTTGTTTCTTAGCAGACCTGCCGGGAACAGTAGAAAAACGGGAAGGGCTTCGTAGTAATAAGGCGGAGACAGGGAAGCCCTTCCTCGACGACGGCATTGGAGAGAGAGAGAGAAAGACAGAGAACGTAGACTTCCAAGGTACGAGCCACGTCATGAGGAAGGAGGGGTCGCGTCCCTCGAGGAGGAGAAGGGGGCGTGGCACCAGCACCCCACCTGGACGGGTTTTCCTTCCACGTCGAACCCCAAAGGGAAGGCCAGCCAATAGCCCGCGAGGGGGGCGTGGAAAAGTGACACGTACAGGGTTCAGAGGTGACATGAAGAAGGAGGGATGGTGGCCTGGAGTGTACAAATCTATTCACACCGCTACCCGTTGAGAAAGACGTCGTAGCGGCACCAGACGGTGATCCTGGGAGCAGGTGAGGCTGGTCGGTGTGGGAGGAGCACAGAGAAGAGGGTCTCTTTCGGGGGTGAGTGGCAAGGGGTGCGGGAGCCCTCACTCGTCCTCTCCCACACCGCACTCTGAGTCCAGCCCAGTTGCCTGGTCGTTTGGAAGGGACGATCCTCTGAGTTAGCCGGGGAGGAGGCGGCGGCTTTATTTCAGGCACCGGTAAGCTGCGGTCGTCGCCGGACGTCGTTGGAAGTGGCGGCTAACGAAAAAGAAAATAGGAAAGTCTAATAGCACATCCCAAAAACATTCCGGTAAACGTTTAAAATTCAAAGCAAGACACTCGTTTTAATGAAAGTCTACCTCCCTCTTCCTTTTATTTCAGAAAACTGTACTTCAGTTTCTGGTAATATTTGCCCGAGGAAAGTGCAAAAACTCTTTTAAAATACATACTTCACTTTTAAAAAGTATGGTGAAGTATAAAAATGTTCACAATATGGTGTGACGTCTAATGGAAGGATGATTCACACGTGCTTTAATATGGTGTACTACAAAATCTCTGGGGAATTGGGTGATATCCAGGTTTGTGTTTTGTTTTTTAGAATATTTGACTGGTGGAAACAAAGTAAGTGTAATATTTAGGTTAAAAACATCCTTCTCAGTGTTATGATGATGTTTTCCACCTGTTGGTGTTTTGTTTGCCAGCCAAAGGTAGTATAAGCAAGCTATTTTTAAAAAATATTCTGTATAGATCCTTAGTTTAAAACATGGAAGGGAGGACTGTAAAATAAGTGTTCATGGAAGTAAGGCTGACTGTGAACTTCATATGTTTTGTTGACCATGCCTTGTAAAATCACAACTTTGGATGCAAGTAAATAGAAACAAGCAGCATTACTATCACTCAGTTTTCACATCATGTTTTGTCCCTGCCATATTAAAATGGCTTCAACGTGTCCTCTGCACCCCAGGGAGGTTATGAGGCTAAACTCTTGCATGAGGCAAGCGATACTATTGTAGCCAAATACCGATGCAGTATAATTCCTCCAAACTCCTTTATAAGTTGCAGATGTAATGTTCAACAATAGCTGTACCCATGGTTGGGGGGTGGAATAAAAAGAGTTGGAGGGTAATTTCATATCCCATACATAAATTTTAATTATGGCCTAATCTTAAAGGTTATTGCCACACAGTGTTATCTTCTGTCTTGTTTGTTTGTTTTACTTGTGTACACACCAACCACATTACTCAGTCAACCAAAGGTAAATGTAGGAATTTTAAAGGCCTGTTCATACTCTTGTCTCTGAGCAAATGACTGCCACTTGTAGCTGTATTAGGACAGTTAATAATTATCTCTTTGTAGTCAAATTTGCCACAGTGATAGCAAAAGCAAACTATGACAGGATTACACGTCTTGAAAAGGTGCAGTTCGTATTGTAGGGCATGTGTAAAAGCATGTTATCATTTTAGGAAAAGGATAAAATAAACAGGTCTGTGCCCAGTGTTGCTTACAATATAAAATAAAAAAGTGGGGAAATGATGAAATAATTGTATCGTCAAAAACTAAACATTGAAATATGACAGACTGAATTAATCTAAATGTACTACAATAATAAACTTGATATTAGTTCAATTATTTGAACTCAAATATTTCCTATTGGTTTGGAGATGTACCTTGATTCTTTGCCTCGTATCCCTGACTATCATAGAAACATAGCTTAAACCACTCCAGAACTGTAGCTAAAGCTAAAAGCCGCAGCTCCTAGTTACAGACACTTTACTTCTGCTAAAATCAATAGTTTAAGAATGCATATCCATGGCTTGGGCTGCAGCCAGCCACTTTAAAATGAAGGTAAAAGCAGATGAGGTAGCCAGACTGTCATACTGAGGGACTCTGATGCCTGATTTATCAGTAATAGTTTGTTTGATGTTCTTGAGCATCCTGAGTGACCTTTCATTACTGGTTCAGTGTGGTTGTGGAAAGCAAATCGGACGGAAGTAGAAAGCATAAGGAAGTGAGGGTGCTCTTGGCTATAAAATTCCCACTTGTTTGCTACTCACATCTGTTTAGAGTTGCGTTTCCAAAAATTTATAAAATTTTAAAATGCTGAAGGTGACATACGAATCATTTACTAACTAGTGAAACATAGACTCATAAAAGGCCCAATTCTTCTGCAAGGGCAGAGACTGGTTTAAAGTGGTCCATCCTCAGAGTGATGTATTCTGATAGTTCTTGAGTTGTCCTTGAAGGAGGCAGTTCAGTCAGACTGATATGTGGGTTATCACATGGCCTGGGCTGTTGATCCTGTTGCCCCATAGCATTCTCTGTCAGCATCTGGAGCCTGTTTGTTTTCCTGGTATTCTAGGAAGCTTGGGGTGACAAAGCTGCAGGTACAGTAGGTGGAGAAAAACTGTTTGGTTGTGTGTATTATGTGCCATAAAGTAGCTTCTGACTTATGGCGAGCTTAACAAATTAATGACCTCTAAAATGTCCTATCATTAACCACCTCATTTAGGTTTGCAAACTGAAGGCATAAGAACATAGAACATAAGAGACGCCAATGTTGGATCAGGCCAAAGGCCCATCCAGTCCAACACTCTGTGTCACACAGTGGCCAGAAATACCAGTACCATCAGGAGGTCCAGCAGTGGGGCCAGGACATTAGAAGCCCTCCCACTGTTGACCCCCCCCCAAGCACCAAGAAGACAGAGCATAACTTGCCCCAGAGCCCCTAGCTATACCTTGTGGCTAATAGCCACTGATGGACCTCTGCTCCATATGCTTATCTAATTCCCTTTTGAAGCCGTCCATGCTTGTAGCACCCACCACTTCCTGTGGCAGTGAATTCCATGTGTTAATCACTCTTTGGGTGAAGAAGTACTTCCTTTTATCCGTTCTAACCCGACCGCTCTGCAGTTTCATGGAGTGCCCACGAGTTCTTGTATTGTGAGAAAGGGAGAAAAGTACCTCTTTCTTTACCTGCTCTTTCCCATGCATAATCTTATAAACCTCGATCATGTCACCCCTCAGTCGTCTTTTCTCCAAGCTAAAGAGCCCTAAGCGCTTTAACCTTTCCTCATAGGGAAAGTGTTCCAACCCTTTTATCATTCGAGTTGCCCTTTTCTGCACTTTTTCCAAAGCTATAATATCCTTTTTAAGGTGTGGTGCCCAGAACTGCACACAGTATTCCAAATGAGGTCTCACCATTGATTTATATAGGGGCATTATTATATTGGCTGATCTGTTTTCAATACCCTTCCTAATAATCCCCAGCATAGCATTGGCCTTCTTTATTGCAGTCACACACTGTCTCGACATTTTCAGTGAGTTATCCACTACAACTCCAAGATCTCTCTCTTGCTCAGTCTCTGCCAGTTCAGACCCCATCAATGTGTATTTATATTTAGGATTTTTGGCTCCAATGTGCATCACCTTGCACTTGGCCACATTGAACCCCATTTGCCATGTTGACGCCCACTCGCCCATCCTTGACAGATCCCCTTGGAGTGCCTCACAATCCTCACTGGTTTTCACCACCCTGAACAACTTTGTATCATCCGCAAATTTAGCCACTTCACTGCTTACTCCCATCTCCAAATCATTAATGAACAAGTTAAAAAGCAGTGGACCAAGTACTGATCCCTGCGGTACCCCACTGCTTACCACCCTCCACTGAGAAAATTGCCCACCTACACTCACTCTCTGTTTTCTATGAACTAGCCAGTTTTTGATCCATAAAAGGACTTGTCCTTCTATCCCATGATTTTTGAGCTTACTTAGGAGCCTTTGATGAGGAACTTTATCAAAAGCTTTCTGGAAGTCAAGGTAAATAATATCTATTGGATCCCCCTTGTCCACATGTTTGTTCACCCCCTCAAAGAACACTAACAGGTTAGTGAGACAAGATCTTCCCTTACAGAAACCGTGCTGAGTCTGCCTCAATAGGTTTTGTTCATCTATGTGCCTACTAATTCTTTCCTTAATAATGGTTTCCACCAATTTACCCGGTATCGACGTCAGACTGACTGGCCTGTAATTTCCCGGATCTCCTCTGGAACCCTTTTTAAAGATGGGAGTGACATTTGCTACCTTCCAATCCTCAGGAATGGAGGCAGATTTTAAGGAAAGATTACATATCTTTGTCAGGAGATCTACAAGTTCACATTTGAGTTCTTTCAGAACTCTCGGATGTATGCCATCTGGGCCTGGTGATTTATCAGTTTTTAAGTTGTCTATCAGTTTTAGGACCTCCTCTCTCGTCACCTCAATCTGACTCAGGTCTTTCAACACCCCTCCTGAAATCAGTGGTTCTGGAGTGGGCAAGCACTTCTCATCTTCCACAGTGAAGACGGAGGCAAAAAATGCATTTAGCTTCTCAGCCATTTCCCTATCATCCTTCAATACTCCTTTTACCCCTTGGTCGTCCAAGGGCCCCACTGCCTCCCTGGCTGGTTTCCTGTTTCTAATGTATTTGAAGAAAGTTTTATTGTTGGTTTTTACGTTTTTTGCTATATGCTCCTCATATTCCCTTTTTGCCTGCCTGACCACAGACTTGCATTTTATTTGCCATATCCTGTGTTCCGTTTTATCAGCCTCACTGTGACTAGCTTTCCACTGCTTAAAAGAATTCTTTTTACTTTTTACAGCTTCCATTACTCTGTTTGTTAACCATGCAGGCTTTTTCCTATACCTGTTTGTGCCTTTCCTAACCTGCGGGATATATTTTTTTTTAGCTTCTAGGATCGTAGTTTTAAATAGTTTCCAAGCTTCCCCAATTGTTTTGACCCTTTCTACTTTTCCTTTCAGTTTCCTCCCCACATGTCCCCTCATATCAGAGAAATTACCCCTTTTAAAGTTAAAAGTGGTTGTGTGAGACTTTTTGGCCAATTCCCTATTTATACAAATGTTGAACTCAACAACATTATGATCACTGTTCCCAAGCAGTGCAATCACTTTTACATCTCTCACCAGGTCTTGAGTGTTACTTAGGACCAAATCAAGGATCACCTCTCCCCTGGTAGGTTCCGTGACCATCTGCTCCATAGCACAGTCATATAGAGTGTCTAGAAATTCAATCTCTTTTTCCCGACTAGAACACATATTGACCCAATCAATGTGTGGGTAGTTAAAATCACCTATTACGACACAGTGTTTTTGTCTAGCTGCTATCTTTAATGCATTCATCATTTTATAATCCTCCTCTATCTTTTGATGGCTTCTTTTTACTGTTTTACTTCCTTTTTACCGTTTGGTCAAACATACATGTTTGGTCAAACATACATGTAAAACAGAATTGTTCAGGAGGGCATTTTGGAAAGGGGAATACGGCTGTGGTGTAACCAAACGGAGGGCGCTTTTATAAAGGGAATATGGTTGTAGTCTGTTCTTTCTGTTTATTATATGCACTATCTTGCTGTTAACCACATTAGATTCTACTTTCCATTCTTTGCATTATTTATGTCATTTTATGACATAACTTTGGTGTGTTTTTGTGTGTGACCATAGTCTTATTTAAGTTGTATGGGTGTCTCATGCTATTCAATTACATTATTTTTATGCTGTGTAATCTGCTTTGAGTCTCAGCGGTAAAGGGGGCCTATAAATGAATCAAGTAAATAAATAACACTCATCCTGAGGCTAGAGCTCATTTTAGACCACCACTCTGTGGTGATCATGGTGGCAGGAAGAAATGAGTTTGACGCAATCACTGGGTACTCACCAAGTTGTGTGGTATCTTCGTTCCCAGTAATGAGGGCTTGTTGTATGCTAATTTTGAGGCATATCGCATAGAACCTGCTGTGACAGGTTTGCCAAGCACATTGCATCTTTGCATCCTTGTATCCACGCTGATTTGGATGCTGCTGTTGCAGTGCAAAGGTGGCTGCAGGAGGCTGTTGTTGGAAGCTCTCCTTGGAGGCAAATAGTTGAGTCAGATCCTGATTAGAGCAAGTTGCTGAGGTACTTTGAGAGCTTGGGTATTCCTGGATTATGTGGATTACTGAGATCAATTTCAAATCTGGTTTTTAGCCTGGTTTTGGCACTAGTGTGGTGGTTGCCATGGCAGTTGTATGCTGGGAGAAAGATCAGCAGAGTGCAAACCTGTTGATTCTCCCAGACCTCTGTGGCTTTTTTGATGCTACTGCCTATGATATCCTTCTGTAGGGGGTTGCTGGGATGCAAACTAGGAGAATAACTATTGTGAACGTCTTCACACCCCTTGAAGCGTATTCCCCCAATGCTGGTGATTTCTCACCCACAAAAGTAGAGTGGGAAATGCAGAGGGCACTTCGGATGCCTTGGTCATGAGGCCGGTGACCCGTTTCATCATGCTGAAGCAATGAACTTGCTGCAGTGCCCCAAAACAGAGCATGGACCCAAATGCACATCTTAATAGTCTGGCTGCAGTAAACTGCCACAGTGTAAATGTCCTTGAATGCCTGTTTCCATGTGCATCCAGATGCTCATTCTCACGCAACTATAGCTGGACTGAGGATTCAGAATGAACTTTGTGCCAAGTCTGACTAGCTGTGTGACCCCCATGTGGGTTGGGAACACAGAGTGAATGAGAGAGAAGCTTTAAAAATTGTGCTGAAACAGCAGCAGATCAAAGGAGCAGTGAATGCAACCAGGTGCCACAAACAGCACAAAAAAGCAGAACGTGTTTCAGGTTGCTTCTCGCACAGTTCTCGCCTCAGATGTGAGGCCAAAAAATATGGTGCAGGACTCGATAGAATATCCCTTTAGTGTTGGGAAAGCAGTGGAGTTTGTGCCAGGGTAAAACATTCCTTTTAGTTGTCTTTATGTTCCATTTCTAAGAGGAAGTCTTGTGAAGATCATGCTAAGCAGTTGTATGCTGGGGTGTTTGCCTCTTTTTATGCTCTGGCTTGTTTTTATTCTGTGATTTTAAGATTTTATAGCACAGTTTTACTGTGAGAGAGGCTGCCATTAGCTCTTTGAAGAGGCAGCATATACATTTTCTAAATAAACATTACTTGATCTACTTTAAAATGGTGTCTGGGAGATATTTAGTTTCACATGTTATTTGCTGCATGATTCTTTTTAGATAAAGTGTGTGTGTGGTTTCTCCCTCCTCCTTTCATCAGGAACATGAATATTAAGCTAGAACCACGATCTTGCAGGATATATTTTCTCTGCTGCCTGGTACTGGCTTCCTTCATCTCTTCTTCAGCAGAAGACCACACAGATGGGAGTCATCAACGAACTGGGCGCTTCGATAGGAACATGGTACAAGATAAGGAGTACGTATTCTGTACTGTGCATGGACATAGACTAAATGCTGAGCCTGACCTTCAGTTAGCATTTCCAACAGAACATTTTCAGTGGTGCTGAAGCTGCCTTCTACAAAGTCAAATCCTTGGTCCTTCTAGCTCAGTGTTGCCTCTAGGCTGTCTGGGAGTGGCTGTTCAGCGGTTTCAGGCAGGAGAAGATCTTTCCTAATGCTTTCTGCCCCATATCCTTTACCTGGAGATGTTGGGGGGGGGTTATACCTTGGACCTTCTACAGGTAAAGCAGATGCTCTGCCACAGAGCCACACTCTGCCATATTGCCATCCTGGCAGTTACAACTTTGTATTGAGGAGGGAGATTTTAACACTTGAGGAGGCAGAGAAAAATTTGAAAATGTGATGACAGAAATGTCCCCCCAGGTCAATTAAAAAAAAAAAACCCACTCAAGCCTAATTGTTCCCAAATTGGGGGTAGTTAACTTCCCAATAAGATTAGTAAGTACAAGTTATAGATGTCAGTCTTCACAACATAGCATGCAGATTACTGCTGAACTGCAGTAAGTAGGTGCAGATTTGCTGCAGTTCTCTAGCTCCTTATGTATATTTTGAAGTGTGCTTTACATACTGTTGTAGTTTCCTTCTGCCATCATAGGAAGTGTGAATAAGTGAATCGTCTAGTTAAAGAGTGTTTAAAGATAGATAAAGGATAAAAAGGCAAGACATGATAGAAGTGTATGCAATTATGAACCATGTAGACTGGGAAACGTTTTCCTTATCTAACTCTCAAACAGGAACATCAAGTGAAATTCTGCATAGGAAAAGGGAAGCTCTTAACAAAGTGCATGATTTAACATGTGATGGCAGCAATGTGATGGCAGCAACTAACTTTAATGGCTTTTTTTAAGTATTTAATTAATTTGTAGTTTTGGGTTTTCAGTGACTGTTACCCAGGATGTTCAATGGTAGTATCTCTCTGGATACCAAATGTGTGTGTTGGGTGGTGGTGGGGGATGACTGTTGCTTCCTTACCTTGTTCATGAGCTTCTGAAAAGCATCTGGCAGGTGACAGAACGCTGGGCTAAACAGTTATTTAGGCATCAGCAAGAACAGGTCAGATGTCTGAGTGTCTATTTGACAGTTACCATGTTATTTCTCAGCCACATCCTGGAAGATTTAGATGGTGTAATTGATAAACCAGAATCTGAGATGTCACCACAAGAACTGCAGCTTCATTACTTCAAGATGCACGATTACGACGGCAACAATTTGCTTGATGGGTTAGAACTTGCAACGGCCATATCTCATGTACATAAAGAGGTGAGGACTGCCATTTAACAGGGAATCTGAATGGTTATTGGCAACAGCCAAGAACGATGTACAAATTGATAACCTATCTTGTGTGGTGTGTTAGCTGTGTAACATTTTTGCATTTTTTTAAAAATTGCTAGCTCACTCAAGCTATCATTTTGGAATTTGTTCTTGGAAAGAATCTATCCTAGGGCTGAACTACTTGTGAGGTGGGAGATCTATTACTGAATTTCTCAACATCTTTTAAACTTTAAAAGCAGCTGCAGCCCTAATTTGGACTGGAGTTGAGGGGTGGAGTTAATTCCACCACCTTCTGTACTCTTGCTAGAAATTGGGACCTTTGCACTGTATCAGCTACATTAGGGGGAAGAAGAGGTACATCCTCCAGTATTTCCAGGCGTAGGAAGTTTCTGCATGGAGTCATGACCTTCTCACCTGCTGCTGTAGCCCAAAATGCCCTCCAAAGTGCTGTTCCTGCAGGTACCCATCCCTGGGGTGTGTGTGAAAAAGTGGCATGCCACAGGCAGAAATCCTTCTGTTTGTGGAAACACTCTAGAGGATTCAAGCTGCCTCTTTTCTGTTCCTGCTTGTCATTCTTAAAAATACAGCAGAAGATCCAATCCTGAATCTCCTTCATATGATGTACTTACGCCACTAGGCTGAACTTTTTAATCACCTGTAAGGTTGCTGCTAAGGAGCTTTAGAGAGTGCAGGCCAAAGAAGTGGGGAGAAAGCGAACACAGTTCCCTCTGCTTTGAGGGAACATAAGAACATAAGAGAAGCCAATGCTGGATCAGGCCAATGGCCCATCTAGTCCAACACTCTGTCACACAGTAGCCAAAAACACCAGGTGCCATCAGGAGGTCCTCCAGTGGGGCCAGGAGACTAGAAGTACTTGGTCCACTGCTTTTTAACTTGTTCATTAATGATTTGGAGTTGGGAGTTGTGGCGCCCCCGCCTGTTGAAGGGGGTAGTCTTTGCACCCCAGACGCCGTTCCGGAGAATGTCGTCCCCCTTCTTAAAGGGGAACAGGAGGCCTCAGAAATAGGGCTGGCTACCTGGTTCCATCACCGAAGGTAAGCGCGAGCCCTGGCGAGAGCCCCAGGAAACGTCCGCCTTGTCGTCTCTCCCTCCGACTTCTGGTCAACCCGTCTCCACCCTCAGCTCTGCCGTTTCTTCCTCCCTGGCCTCCCTTTCTGTTCCCCTTTTATCCCCTTCTCTAACCCTCCCTTTCTTCTGACTGGACACCGAGGTGTCAATCTCGGGTGGCTCCGCCTCCCTATAAGAACGCCGACGCTCTGCCAAGTGCGGGGGCGTTCTGCCCCCGCCCGGAGCAGGGGGCGTGGAGGCCTTTGGCGCGGAACGGCCTCCATCATCAGGCCACGATGGCCCTGTGGGCCTCGGTGATGGTGGTGCCTCTTGGGGGGGCGCCCTTCTGCCACGTATACGGGGCCGGGCTCTGCAGGGAAGGGGCCGAGCCGCGGCCGAGTGCTCGCTGTGCCCGCCGCTCTCTGCAGCTCGGTTGGCTGCCTCCTTGCCTGTTTTGGAGCCCTGCGGCATCTTCCCAAGGCTGCTGCCCGCAGTAAGTGGGCAAACTGCCGGGTGGAGCTCGAGCATAGGCGGGGAGGAGAGGCCCAGACCGTCGGAGTCGGGACAGGAGTAAGCAGTGAAGTGGCTAAATTTGCGGATGATACGAAGTTGTTCAGGGTGGTGAAAACCAGTGAGGATTGTGAGGCACTCCAAAGGGATCTGTCAAGGATGGGCAAGTGGGCGTCAACATGGCAAATGGGGTTCAATGTGGCCAAGTGCATGGTGATGCACATTGGAGCCAAAAATCCTATATATAAATACACATTGATGGGGTCTGAACTGGCAGAGACTGATCAAGAGAGAGATCTTGGAGTTGTAGTAGATAACTCACTGAAAATGTCGAGACAGTGTGTGACTGCAGTAAAAAAGGCCAATGCTATGCTGGAGATTATTAGGAAGGGTATTGAAAACAGATCAGCCAATATCATAATGCCCCTATATAAATAATGGTGAGACCTCATTTGGAATACTGTGTGCAATTCTGGTCACCACACCTTAAAAAGGATATTATAGCTTTGGAAAAAGTGCAGAAAAGGGCAACTCGAATGATAAAAGGGTTGGAACACTTTCCCTATGAGGAAAGGTTAAAGCGCTTAGGGCTCTTTAGCTTGGAGAAACGACGACTGAGGGGTGACATGATTGAGGTTTATAAGATTATGCATGGGATAGAGCAGGTAGAGAAAGAGGTACTTTTCTCCCTTTCTCACAATACAAGAACTCGTGGGCACTCCATGAAATTGCTGAGCGGTCGGGTTAGAACGGATAAAAGGAAGTACTTCTTCACCCAAAGAGTGATTAACACTTGGAATTCACTGCCACAGGAAGTGGTGGCGGCTACAAGCATGGACGGCTTCAAAAGGGAATTAGATAAGCATATGGAGCAGAGGTCCATCAGTGGCTATTAGCCACAAGCAATATTCCCTCTAAGCTGTGGAATCTTGTGAGCAAAAATTCTATTTTGTGAGCTACTGGCATTAAAGTTGTGAGCAAGCAGTTTGGCAACTGCATAAATCAGTTTGCTCTGAAGCCATCCTTCCTGAGCTAAGACAAAAATGTGTGAGCCAGAGGCTAAAAAACTGTGAGCTAGCTCACACTAACTCAGCTTAGAGGGAACACTGGCCACAAGGTATAGATAGGGGCTCTGGGGCAAGTGATGCTCTGTTTCCTTGGTGCTTGGGGGGGTCAACAGTGGGAGGGCTTCTAATATCCTGGCCCCACTGGTGGACCTCCTGATGGCACCTGGTATTTTTGGCCACTGTGTGACAGAGTGTGACAGATGGGCCAAAGGCCCATCCAACATTGGTGTCTCTTATGTTCTTATGTTCTAAGCCCTCCCACTGTTGAAGGAACTGATGCATGTATCGTAGCTCATGGGTCATGGCCCACTGAATTCTTCCCACCTGTTGCTACTGGTTTTCTAGCTGCCACTGCAGAGGTGGTCTACTCCCAAAGCAACTCCCAAGGCTATGGTATTGAGGGGCCAGGCCACTTCTGATGTTGGTGCATCCACGAGCCACCTGCTTTGCCAAGACCCATCCTTCTTGGTTTTTCTTGTAGGATGGTAGTGACCATGTCCAGACCATGAAAGAAGAGGATCTCATTAGCTTAATTGACGGTGTCTTGAGAGATGATGATAAGAATAACGATGGCTACATCGACTACGCCGAATTTGCAAAGTCACTGGAATAAAAACAAAAAATCATTCTTGTTTGTGTGACCCAGTACAATGTGATTCTTGACTGCCTCTCTGTCGTATGTTCCACTGTTTGGGCTGCAGAATGAATGGTAGGGAAATGCATTATCTCCTTCATTTTTTTATACGTTTGGGAGAGAAACTTGTGGTGGGAGCCATTTGATAACTTAACACTGTTGAGCAATAAGGTACAGTGTCCAAGACACTGTTCAAGTTAGCTAATCATTTGGCAGTGTTGGCTTAAAGGCTGAGTTACAAAGACTATGGTCTGGAAACCACTTAGCTCCAGAATACCTTTCAAAGGAGTTCCTTAAGCATTGGAAAAGCTCATAGCCATGCAGCCACTACTTCTGAAACATTCTTCAGTGTGAGTCCTTCAAAACAAGTGACTGCAGTGCTCTGATCAAGAACTTGGGTTTCCCTTTCTCTTTCCTAGAAACTAGTTTGTGCGCTGAAGTCTGAAACTTCATAACTAAGTTCCAGTTCACCGTCTAATTCAGTGTTCATGTTTCTTGTGAGTTCCAGATTAACTCTGCAAAAAATGGAATGTGTCCACAACCCAGGAAAAGTTTAAGCCTTTACAAAGCCCATGCCTTTCAGTGGAGAGATTAAGTGCATGCCTAAATCTTTTCCCTTAAAATGGATGTGAATGTTTAAAAAGTGCTCAAACTTGGGCTGGATTGTGTTCTGTGGGCTGGATCCCACATGAGAGCCCACAGAAGAAGTTGATAAAGTAGATCTTTTCTCTCCCTTCCCTTGACACCCTGCCGTTTATTCCAAAAGTCCTCTCCAAGTATCAGGAGAGTCATGCAAGCTCTGTCACCTCCTTCTCGTAACTCTTTTGCTGGTTCCTACTCAATATCGTTAAGTAAAGGGTTGCAGTGTAGCCATGCACCTGTCATTCAGGTGCTGCCCTTTTACTGTATGTGTTCCCATGTCCCAAATCTTCTTTATAGAGGAACTGATTTTGGAAAAATTAAGTATATATGTTACATCTTCTATGCCATTAATCCAGTATCCTGTTTGGGGGTTCATGTTTTCAGAAAGCATAGGTTAAATACCGCTGTTTGGTGTGGTCTACTACCATGAACTGTTCCTGTGTTAAGTCAGCTGATTGTTACAATCACAGCAAAATGCTGCCTTGTTAAGGTTCTCACCAATGTACCTTGACGTGAATTCATGGTGTTAGTTTTACGGGAAAAAATACAAAGTATTTTCACAGCTAACTCTTTGAAAGAGAGTCTTTAAATACTTGAATGGTCTGCTTATTGAAAACGATCACGGAGGTCTCTGCCGCTTCAGGTTCCGTGTCTATTCAGCAGCCCTGTGTGGTTCTAAAGCGAGATGACACTATCTTGATGTTTGACCTACTGTATTAAATGGATCGGAAAAGCATTACGCTTTCATCTAGAATGTTCAGAAAGAGACAAAAATCAAACTGCTCTCTGTAAATTGTATAAAGACCTATTTTCTGTATAAAAATATTCTTATATGAAGTGCATTTGTAACAAATCGTTTCCTTTTGTTAATTGTGTAACAAAAGCTACTTGTACTATGTTCTTGTAACATCTGACTTATTAGACACATTTGTATAATGGTTTATGCTAAATATAAAAGCAATAAAATTCAGAAGTGCTGCAACTTTGTTCTTCAAATGCAGGAAACACAGAGATGGTGCATTTATGCAAAGCCATTCTGTCCATTTAGCCACTGTTCTCTGTGAACCCTGCTCAGCCTCGCCTCGGACCCAGACTTCCATGACTGCAGTGGTGCAGTCAGCTTTCCAGCAGCTTCTCACAAGCTCCATTAGAGCTTCCCAGGGAAGGTCACGCAGGCAAAGTGCACGCTGAGTGAAGCTCCTGGAACATTTGCAGAACTCTAAAACATTGCTCTTCAAGCCTAGGAGGAAAAGAAATTAGCAACTGGGTGTTAATAGCCCCACAGAAGGTGCTAATGGATTCTTAATAGAGGTTGTACTGCAGCGGCAGAAGGCAGTGAAGCACTAAAGTAAGTCTCATTGCTAACCACAGTATAATGTTGCATTGCGCATGGCATCAGTGCTTTAACTTGGTTTGCAGAAGGCTTCTTCCCCAGTGAACTTCAACTGATCCCTCCCTCCCTTTGCCGAAAGATAAGTGGTCCAAAATGAGTGGGTCGGTTGTCCTCCAGTATTCATGAGCATAAATTAGAAAGTGTTGGGGAGTTTTTTGTTCCCGTGATGAGGAACGATGCAAGAGAGACTATATATGACCCCGGCACTACTGCAATTACACTAGCTACTGATCTGCTCCTGAGCCCAATTCAAGGCGTTGTTTTTGGCCTTTAAAGCCCTACATAGCTTTGGACGGCGGTATCTGAAGGGCAGTCGTCTTCTGTATGTTCCTGCCAGGGAATTCAGATTGCAGGGAGAGGCCCTCCTGGCTGTTCCACCAATCAAAGAAGCTTGTCTGGTGGGCACATTTTCAGTGGCAGCCCCACAATTATGGATCAGCCTCCCAAAGGAGGTGTGCCTGGCCCCCTCACTGTAGATCTTCTGGTGGCAGGTGAAGACAGTTTTTATTAGAACTGCATTTGACTGATTTGGTTTTAATTTATTGGCAGTCCTAACTGGGGTTTTTAAATCTAAATTGTCACCTTTTATGTGCCTTTATAATAGTTATTTTATTTATATTGTTTTAATGCATTTTTATATTCATTATCTTGTACGCTGCCTTGAGTTCTGCAAGGGAGGAAGGTAGCTTAGCGCTTTAAAGAAATACGTACATAACCTAGAAACTAACGCAAGGAGAAAAGAGGGTTCTGGGACTAGTAATTTTGTCTGTTGCAATTTCCTTCAACCCAATCCCAAACTGTTTCTCAGATAAATACAAAGAAAAGCTTTATCTAGAAATTCCACATTATAAAGGTCCTTTTATTCTAAAGGAATAGGATGGATTTATTTCCTCCCAGAACTCAGACCAAACTTTTTTTGACTCCCTACCATGAATAGGCCTTCATGTACCCAGTCTACTTCATGCCAGTTTTCTAGTCAGAAGAACCGAGCTTTGTGCATGGAGGGAACGAGGGGAAGGTACAGCATGGCAGCAGTGATGGTTAGTACAAAAAGAGGGGGAGGGATAGTGAGGGCTTTGTTTTCGACGGCCATGACAGAAATGGAAGGTGTGCTGGACTTGTTTCTGATCTTTAAAGACTAGAACTGGAGGAATCCAGGCAACAAGCATACAGGCCTGCTTTGAGCTTAATCAGACTATTGTTTCATCTGGCCCAGAACTGTCTGTTTGGATGGACAGCAGGTATCTAGGAGTGACAGAGGTGTCATTTGCTTTCCAGCCCTCCTATCCAAAGTCCTTTATCTGGATGTGGAAGGATCGAGCCTGGAACCCTCTGTGTGTAATCTCTTTTGAGTCACAGTGCCTCCCTGTTTGGGGTGAAACAGTGCAGAAGCATGTGCAGGAGTGGGGAATGCTTGCCACTGGCACAATGTTACCTACACCTTTCTGCTCATCTCCTCTGATGTTGCGATATGGTGCATGGAGGAAGCTGAAAGCTAATCCTATGCATTCCCAACAAAGTGCACTGAGTGATTATCACATAAGCAGGGCTGTGTAAATCATCATGGGTGTTAATCATCATGCATAGGTACATGCACACCAGTCTGGCAAGGGGGATACATGTGCAGTTTCTGCTCACAGATTCTTTTTCTAGATGTCTCTTTCTGTGATCAGAATGGATGAGGATGCAGATTGGCATTGCAAAGTTTGTTTAGACAAAAGTATGCAATAGCCATCCTATTTGCACTACAAGGTGTAGGCAGATGTCTGCTATCCATGTTGCAGGATGGGTAAGAATGCACATTCAAAGCTTTCATAATGTTTAAGCCAATTTGGTGGGTCCTGATAAAAGGTATTGCACAAAAATTGTTCTTGATGAAAGAAAACCTAGAAGCATTTTATTTTTTAGCCACTAGATGGCATATATATCATACTAGATCATATGCACTCCTTTAGTGTAGGCTTTGACTATTGACTCAAGTCAATCAGCTTTCTTCTTCCCACTAAATGTCACCTGGTAGAATTGCAACAAGGCAAGATTATCTTCCTCTAAGTGCTCATTTCAGCCTTCCTGGTATGAGGAAAACATACGCAGGCTAGGAAAGGGCATGTAACTCCGCATCAGAATCATCACATAACACACACTCCTCTTTCATTGACTTCGTAATTCTGTCACTGAACAGGCCAAAACTCTTTACAATCACCTATCCCTGCCAAGACTAATAGAGTAAGCCCAACGTTTTGTCCTCGGTCCAAGGCATTTGAGTTATGACAAGCAAGAGATATTTTAAACAAATAAATATGAGGTGACTTCATTTTCCCCCCGCCCCGAATCTTTTGAACACCTTGCCCAAGTTTCCAGACACACCCTCCTGCTCAATTATCTGCAATGGGGTGCTATTTATGAGGTTTCCAAGCTGCTCTCATATTTTGCAAAATAATGAATGAATTCTGTTTTCCTGGAAACCATTCAAATGGGAATGAGAGAGCAACAAGAATTTCTCCATATTTTGTGTATGTACATATGTAGCTCTTTTTTCCTTCACTTATAGCCTGCCTTTCTTGCTCAGTCTCAGGGTAGATTACAGAATACAAAATGGACAGTGGGGATGAGGGACTTCAGTGAAATACGAGGCCAGAGTCCACCTTCCAAAGGGGCCATTTTCTCCAGGTGAACTGATCTCTGTCAAGTGGAGATCAGATCTAATCCCAGCTGCCACCTGAAGGCTAAGCTTTGGTTGTTCAGTCACACAGTCGAGTCCGACTCTTTGCAACCCCATGGACCAGATCACGCCAGGCCCTCCTGTCTTCCGCCATCCTCCAGAGTTTGCTTAATTTCATGTTCGTTGCATCTATGACACTGTCTAACCATCTCATCCTTTGCCGTCCCCGTCTTCTTTGACCTTCAATCTTTCCCAGCATCAGGGTCTTCTCCAGTGAGTGCTCCCTTCTCATTGGGTGGCCAAAGTATTTGAGCTTCAGCTTCAGTATCTGGCCTTCCAGGGAACAGTCAGGGTTGATTTCCTTTAGGATTGACTGATTTGATCTCCTTGCAGTCCAAGGGACTCTCAAGAGTCTCTCAGCAACCAAGGGACT